ATTACTCGATGATTATTTAAAAAAAAAGATTTTTTTCAACACTTTGAGCTAACAATCTAAAAATTGGATGGTCCTTGTTCAGTCTTGGGACATTATTTTTTCAAGCACGTAGAGAGTGTGATTTGATTCTTTTTTCTTGGTTTGGTCACTAGGATCAAGATGTCACATCTCCAAGTTTTACCATCCTAAAAATAAGGACCCGGTTTCTATACGGCCATGCCAGCATATGTAGAAATGCAGGCCCATTAATAAATCTTTTTTTGGGATGGATTTTTTGACTTAATTTTTAAGGACAAGTTAGCTCTAACTAGGAGATTATGAATGTAAAAAAATAAGTAAATTTTAAAAACTAAAAATAATAATTCTAGTAAGAACCATTTGGATTGTTAGTTTCTATTGTTTTAGATGGAACACCTACTTGCATTCATCTCTAAGATGGATGCTTTACACTTTTTGAACGGCATATATACATGAAACAATTTTCTTAAAAATAATCCTAGTTTTTAGTTGAGGGGCAAAGTCGCTGTTTGGTTGTGCGGAAGAAGAAAATCATTTCCTTTTAAGGGTGGGTTAAAATAAGGAAAAAATTTATATAAAGCCGAGGTTCTAAACAGTCAAATTACAGCCCACCTCCAAAATTGAACTACAAGAGGGTTTTTTGATTCCCAATTATCCTCTAATTGATCATCTCGACATCAAGATGCATTGACATGAGAAACAAAAAAAAGAACTTTAAGTCATGGAAATAGTACATTTTGTAACGTATTTTTTTATCATCAACTTTCAAGATATTCAAGTTTTCATATATCTCCTCGATCTACACTATTTTTTAAGCTTTAAATTTTATAATTAAAGATAAAAATATATTTTAAGGCTATCACAAAGGTTTGCAGTATTGAAACCACATTTTTCAATACTATTTGAAGGTACACTTTACTTTAATTGTTTAGAGCCTCGGCTCTATACAAACCGCACCCTTAAAAAATAATCCTAGCTTGGTTTTTTGGGGCTTAGATCGTCTTCAAGCACACGAGGGATCTGGTTTGGTTGAGATCGTTCTAATTATGGGTTGAAATGGTTGGAACAAAATTAAAACTATAAACAAAAATATAAATAATTGCTTCATAATTTGGTTATGTTTCAAATTTATTAGTTGCAATATAATTTGAGAAATGATCCTATAGGACTTTCCCCCACCCATGTGTATAGGACCCCAAAAGATCACTATTAAATTTGATACGGACCTTTAAAAAAATCAAGTCCACACTCATGTGATAACTTTTCTAGAGATCCATGCCAAATTTAATGGTGATCCTTTGGGGTCCTATACACATGGGTGGGGGAGGGTCTCACAAAATCATTTTCTATATCATTTTAAGGAATATTTTTTAATTTGAATTGATTCTCAATTGTAATTAGGCTTTCAAATTGCAATTTGCAAAATCACCCGAGTTGTTTTGCTACCATGGTTACTATTGGCCGCCACCACCACCACCGCTCCATCACCCTCTCCACTACTACCACTACTCAAGCCTAACAATCACAACTCCCACCACCACTCTATTATTAATCGCCATAACCACCACCACCACCATCAACCCAACATCACCTCCACCACCTCCATCATACTTACTACCACCACTACCACTTTCTCATCATTGCCACTACCACCATTTCATTTGCTCCACCACAACAATCACCACCACCATCATTATGCACAAAGAAGAAATTATACTTCAAATTAAAACAAGGTTGCTGTTTGTTTAAGGTTGAGGAGTTAAAAAATCAAAATAAGGCTGCCAAAAGTTTATTTCATTTCTAGTAATAAAATTTAAATCTTCAATGATAATGTAGAACAATCAAACACTAAAGGGCACTTAGATGATGCATTGAAGATAAAAATGTGATAACCAATGATGGAGACAAACCGTCATATGATTACTCTTCACCGATGATCAATCTCCACCCTCTATCATAGTCTTTGGAAGTCGCTACCGTGTCTCATGTGTCTTTTGGTGTATGATACACTTTTATTATACTTTCTTTTGGGCACATTTAGCATGCGTGAAAATATTTTTTTAAAGGGTATGGTTTCTTTAAGGTTGCAATTTTAAGCAATCCAATTAAAACACACCTCCAAAATTTATCATAACATGTAATTAAAACACACCTCCAAAATTTATCATAACATGTAAGTTTGGTGTAAAAAATTCTTAAGATTATATGAAAATCTATTTTTATATCTAATAATAAAATTGTAAACTCCAAAAGTAGTTAAAATCAAGTAGATCTATGAATATATGAAAACCTTGAAAATAGACCGCCTAGATAATGTGTTTATTTCTAGGACTCAAAATCTTTTTTCTTTTTTCATATTCATAGATCTTGATGTCGAGATGACCAATTATAATGTTTTTCAACATTAAAACAATATTTTTTTAATGGATTTTTGAGGTGCATCTGTAATTCTACATTTTAAGGTTGTAACCTTATAAAAAAATTTTCTTTTTTTAAAATACTTCCATGAAAATATTTTCATACGAAAAAACTCCCTTATGTATTTAGGTATATGAGTTTTTTTATACTAATTGGCTGCTAAATATGAAAAAATACACTTAAACGAACTGTTGTGAAAAAACTCCAACACTTAATCAATGACGCGAGGGAGTTTCATTTTCATGTGCACCAAACATACCCTTGATAAAAACTTAAAACTAAAAACTTAAAAGGAAGGTAGACATCATGAGGACTTCCACAGTCCGTTCTCCATGATGGTGGTGAATCTCCACCGTGCACGTTTTCATAAGTCATCAGTTTTATAGCATATGATAGGACTTTATACTTTTGGATGTGGGTCCCAATCAGTCAGTTATTAGATGTGAAAAGATAATGCTATTAACAATTTGGGTGTTAAAAAGTCTTCGAGAGGTGTTATCACACTTCTAATCGCATAATTTTAGGTTTATCCAAAACGAGGTGGTTGGGAGACCTTGTAGTGCTAAAGGCACAAAGTCTTGTGATATACAATGGGCGAGATAAGAAAGAATAAAGAATCTAAATCCCCCTTCTTATCCTATTATGTTATATGTCAAAATCTATTTTCGTTTACAATACTCAAAATATATTTTAGTTAGGGAAAAGTTTATATAGAGCCGGGGCTCCAAACAATCAAATTTGAGCCTACCACAAAAATTGCATTAGAAGAAGTTGTTTTGATGCCCAAACATCATCAAATTGATCATCTTGACATCAAGATGTATGGACATGAGAAAAAAAGCGATCTCAAGTTTTGAAAATAGTGTATTTTGTAATGTATTTTTGGACCGTTAATTTTTAAGATTTTTATAAGTATGTCGATCTACACTATTTTTAAAGATTTAGACTTTATAAATAAATATGAAATTATATTTTAAGGTTATCACAAAGATTTCCAGTATTGAAACCACATTTTTCGATACTATTTGAAGGTAGGCTCTAATTTGATTGTTTAGAGCGTAGGCTCTATACAAACCGCACCCTAAATATATTTCCATCTTTATTTATAAAGTTTAAAGCTTCCAAAATAGTATAGATCACTAGATCTATGAAAACTTTAAAAATTTTAAAATTGACGGTCCAAAAATGCATTACAAAATACACTATTTCCAAAACTTGAAATCCATTTTTTCCTCATGACCATGCATCTTGATGTCGAGATAATTAATTTGAAGATATTTGGGCATCAAAACAATCTTTTCTAATGAAAATTTTGAGGTAGGTTTAATTTTGATTGTTTAGAGCCTCGGCTCTATATAAACTTTTCCCTTTTATTTATGTTCAAAGTCCATTCCTTTAAGAAAAAAGTTTACATAAGGTGTCAATCTTATATTGTATGAGTAAGATATACCTAAAAAATCCACTAGACAAGTTAAAACCCTCAAATCGATCATCTCAACCTCAAGATTCATACACATGCAACAAGGGGATTTTTGGACTTAAAAATAGTTTATCTTCTAACACATTACCTGGACCATCTATTTTTTAGATTTTAAAGTGTTTTTAGATCTGTTTGATTCGTCACCATTTCTAGAACTTTAAATTTCACAAGTGGGGGCAATAATAGATTTTCACATCATCGGAAGGCTTTGCAGCACTGAAATTGCATTTTTTTTTAATATAGTTTTGAGGTGCACCTTTGACATGTATGTAAAACTCACCCATCACAATTTAAATTTTGCTCTGATGTTCAAATCCTTCTGGTTTTTAAGTGAAAAAGCAATTTGGATATCCAAATCAATTTTTGGGAGTAAAGACACAAAGTTGGGGATTAGGTGAGATGTTCTGACTGCATTTTATTTCATGTGCGGTAGTCCCGCGAGTCGGTTTTTTAGTGGAAAAATTGGAGGTCTACATCATTCAACAAAATCATTTTAGACATCCAATGTATAAACCACTTTTTCACTTGAAAAAAAAAGAAGACATCGGATAGTATACTGAATTTTCATACTCCAATTCGATGGTAACATATCAATTAAAGGATATAATAGAACTTATTTAGTACAATTTCCAAATAAAAAGTGCAAGAGATTTACTTTATTTTTTCTAACTTTTAAGACTTCTTCTCTAGTATGTCTTAATAATTATTTTTTAGTGCTGCCGTTCCATACATTCATTAAGAATTTGGGACTAAGTTTCTGATATTTTCTCTATTAGAAAAAGGACAATTGTTTGGCGCTTCCATGCCTACACTTATTACTATGCGGGCTTGGAGAGCTGCATCATCTACCAAAAAAGGTGTAGATCTACACCATAAATAATAGTCCTCCAAAGAAAAAGTAAAATCAACTGTTAAAAATTTAAAATATTTATTCCGAAAATACTATTTTTATTTTTAAAAAAATTATTTATTTTTATAGATTGATATTATATATTCCCTAAAAATTAGGAATAAATTTTACTTCAAAAATAAATTATAAAAGGGCCCGTATATCTACTGTCGGTCTGTGGACTCAAAGAAACTGTATCCGTCAAAAATGAAATTAAAGCATCACGTGTCGCTATTTCGCATTAACATTGTAGCGAATTCCGCGCTGATGCTGTTTTTGTCACGCAATATAACGGAGGGAAATGTTGGTTGGTTGATTGCTGTAACACAAGAGAGAGCAAATCAAGAGAAAAAGCTTTAGAGAGAGAGAGAGAATGAGAATGGGTTGGGATTCAAGCCTTTCCCAATCTGGAAAGAGGGGCAGGGACCCTGAAGATGCTGTTTATTTGGACAATTTCCATACCCACAAGCGATATCTCAGTGAGGTCTTTCTTTCTCACTTTAAATTTGTGGGGCTGAGCCTTTATTTGGGTTTTGGGGTTCCTTCTTCTCTCTCTAACTCTTTTCATTTGGGCTCTTGGGATTCTTCCCCATCCCTCTCTAACTGGGCTCCTTATCTATTGTTTTAAAATGTCTTGCTACAAATTCAGGTTATGGCTTCAAGTTTGAATGGATTAACAGTTGGGGACTCACTTTCAGAGGTACATAGAACATCTCCATCAAGATTTGATCCTATGGAGTCCCCTGTGAGGTCTGAGAGCATTGGTTTTCCCAGGTTAGATTGGCTTTCTTTACCTTTTCTCCCTGATGTCTTTTTGTTTTTCAGAATTGGGTTTTATTGAGGGATCATTGATTCTTATAGGAGGTTAATGTCAGTTGTGCTCATGTTTAATCAATGCTTGTTGGGTTCTTCTCTTTTGTGAATTCATGGTTTCTTGCTGTCCAAAGAATTATAATACTGGATTGTCTCGCTAAGTGTTTGGTTTAATGAGGAACAAATAACTCCTTCAAGAGATTAATTGGCTGTTTAAGTCATCTTTTGATCATTGCCCGTTGGGTTTTCCTCTTTTGTGATTCATGATTTCTTACTTTGTAAACAATAGTGTGAATTACACATTGGCATGGGGAAGTAGTTAATAGAAAGTAATATGTGGTTCATTCAATTGTCATCAAATAGGACTTGCAGATTTCATAAAAAAGAAATTCAAATTAGCAAGTGAACCAAATGAGGAGTGAACTAGGTCAGACATCTAAATCTTTAAAACCATGAGGAATTTGCTTATTGTTTTGCCAATTATAAGCCTGTTTCTGCCTTTGGGTTTCAGAGTGACAGCCATTTGCCAGTCCAATTACCAAAATAATAAAATAAAATAAAATAAAAAATAGAAAAACCATGGTCAGTCAAAGTTATCCTGCATGTGGAAATTTTCAAGTTTCTGCATTAAAGTTTGCTTATCAAGTTATTGTGCCTGTTACTGGTGGTTTGGTTTTTATGGTTATTTTATCTCTCTAGAATAGGTTCTATGTTTGTATTTTGGGAGCCAAACCGAGACCTTTCACAAGCCCAATTCCTATACACCGGGTGCATAATTGTGGTTTTCTAGTGGTAATATTTGTGCATATAAATCTTTTCTCGGAGATATTGGCACTTCCTTCAGGCCTTGCATTTCTTGCTTAAGTGATTGTTCCAAACCATATGTTGCATCGCTAATGTTTTGACATTGACATTGCATTAATCCAAGCCCCAGCACTTCCTATTATTTTCCTCTTGTCGCGAAAATCACGAAAAGAGTCGCTACCTTCTAAATATATTTCCTGTTGACCTGAAATAATGGTTGTTGCTTTCCCACCATGTTTAAATACCTAAATTGCTTACAATACACTAGCTCAAACTGTAGAGATAAATTCATTGAAACCTCAATTTTTGCATGTAAAGTTAAATGTAAAAGTTAAATAGAATCTTAAACACTGTAGCAGAGTTCTATGTTCTATGCAGAAACACAAAGAAGTTTATCTGAACAATTGCTATTAGTCTAGTTTATTGGCTTTTGAAAACATGACATCTACATTGATCCTGAAAAGTGCACTACTCAATATTCAGAATATCGTACCTCTTGGATTGTTCCACATCTCAAATGTAATAGATAACATCTCTTTAATCTTTACTGCACCTGCCGTATCTATGGATTCAGAAATGCGGTGCATCCATGAGAATTGACAAGAAAATTACTCGTCTCAAGCTCATCACAATCCATCCATTTCCAATGATTGTGCAACCCATACGACACCAACTACCTGTAAAGCTATTAACATAGGCAGATTTCATCAACGGTTTTCATTAAAACAGGGGCATCTTTTCTAGGGCCAAATTGATGATACTACATCATGGGTTGACAGTAAATAAAGTCAGCAAATTTATGGGATATGTGGGCATCATACGTACATCTCTTAAAGTTCTTTCAAGCATTCTTTTAATGTAGTTTGAGCTCCTTGGACTCAAGAATTATTAACCCCTTCAGAAATTCCTTTCCTGGTCATTTTGCCAAGCCACCTCCACTACTACCCACTTTATCCATCCTTATTTACAATCAATTCTTCTGTTGTTTGCTACATTGTAGTATTGTACTCCATAGAAATCAATTCTACTGTTGTTTGCTACATTGTAGTATTGTACTCCATAGATGTTGAGTAGGAGTTTTTCTATTCCTGTTTTCTTGGACTAGGCTTGTTCCTTTTGTTTTGTTGTCACAAGATAGAAAGTTCTAAACTACTTACTCTTCTTTTCGTATTTGCAATGGGAAGAACTTCTATGCAAATGATTATATTTATTTCTTTTGAACAACATGCTCCTTTACCCAGTGCACTGTTCACAGAAAAAGTGATCATGATTATGAGTTATGCCTGTTTCAAAGAAGAAATAATGAAAAGAGCTGAACCAAATAGAGAGGAAGCTATCTCTTGTCCCAAAAAAAAAAGGATTTTGACATACATAAATATCTCAGAAAGAAGGTGAGCGTTGCTTAAAGGATGTCCATAGTTTATGGAGATGTATTAGAACCCTTCCATGACAAATGATGCTCTAGATTTCACAAGAAATATGGGGTTTCTCTCCCAAAGTTTGGATTTCTTTGGGTTTTAAGTGGTTCCTAGTTTTCAAAATTGGCTCTCTGACATTTTCCTTTACAATTGTAAATGAATCTTCAATCCAAAGAGTAGTATGACATGATTCTACATGACCCATGCATTATCCTGAAACCCTTATTATGTCCCTAAATCTTAGAGCAAGTCACCAGAATCTGAAACAAAAACTCCAACCACTGAATCAGAGAAAGATTTACAACCAAAGGACCTGCAGCTTGCTCTATCCTTTACATTGACCCACATGTAACTCCATCTTCTCCAACCTGGCACCCTCCATGGAGAGGAATGTGGTCGAGTGACCTCATATGGAGAATCTCGCATAGCCTCTGGTCATGCGTTTCACACTTGATACTTTCTCGCTCACTCTCTTACTGAGTCACCTCATATGGAGAATCTCGCGTAGCCCCTGGTCATGGGTTTCACACTAATCTCTCTCTCTCTCTCTCTCTCTCTCTCAATCAATCAACATTCCTGCAATGGAATTGTGTCATCCATGTGGTTGCGTGTGCAGTATCCTCTAAACTTCTAGTTGCAAACTCTTGAAAGTTTCTCAAACAATGACTGAAATTTCACACTCGGGCATGGAACTGAGCAGGTCTTGAGCCTGAGATGACTGGTTTGACTCGGCCAAGTCTCAAGAAGACTTGCCTGAATCTATGAAGAAGACTTGCCTGAATATATGAAAAATTAATACAGTAATCTCTGGAACTGGTGACAATCAGCCAATTCTTAAGGTTTTTCAATGGGACCCGTCACCTGTGAATAACTTGGGTGAGTTTGAGTAGGGTTACCCGAGTTTCAAAATGCTGATTCTCAAACCTGCAATGTCAAGAGGCAAAAGTGAACATTAACGATTTCACAGAGCAGGCAGGAGAAATGGTAGATGGCTTTGCCTTCAAGAGAGACTAATGGTGGAGGGGGATTTGAAATGGACTATGGTTACTTGAAAAATTGAACTGGAAAACTTAATTCATAAACTTAGTTCTACTTTTTGAGGTTGTTTTTGGGATCCTAAACGGTCTTAGAATTTTACATTTAGCTTATCTGTTGTCTCAGGGACTGAGAAGGTTTTTACCAAGCTTGTTGTATGTGATTTATAGATATTTCCTTTGATGTAATTTTTTATTTAGAGATGGATCCGTAATCTGGTCCCTTTTTTATAACACTACGTGCTTTTCATTATTGTTATTATTTACCTTGTGTTTTTTTAACTCATTTATGTGCACGTAAGAGTTGTTTTTGTAAAGGGGGAGAGGGTGCTCCCTACATTGCAGATTTTGATTTCCATCATAAAGACGGTTGGACTGCTTTTCTGGTCAACTAAGCTAACTTGTTGCACATAATGTTGACACTGGATCCAATTTGATCCTCACAAATGTTTAACCTATCAATCTTGTTATGAGAAAATGCTATATATGTGTTTAATCTGCAGGGTCACAATAAGTAGAAAGACTAATGGGTCCCTTGAATAGGAAATGGTATCTTACTCGATTTTCATGCACCATGCACATTCATTCACAATGCTTTTACAAGTTTCCTAGGAGGCATGAGGATGTACATGTAGCCATCTAACCTTCTTTATTGGTCTTCCATGCTTTTGAGTATAATTGGTGTGGTGTAATTGTTTGTGTTGAATTGGAATAACTCTTTGACAGATGACTGAAAATTAAAAAATGTACTAACCATTAAGAAAAATTTCCAATTTCTTTCTCTTGTTTATCTAATGCATCACCTCTTGTTTTCAATACTTCAAATACACCATTACTGCAGATGGCTTGTTTCTAGAATCTTTATTCCAGATATCTTTGGGTACGGACCTTGCTCATGTGTTGCATGTCTTTTCTAATAAGTATCTTTTCCTTTCTCTTGCTTTTAGTGGCTTGTTTCTCAAATTCGGCTGAAAAATCAAACCATAAACAAAGCTACTTATCTTCATAAAACTAGCTGGTCTTCAGTATTAAATACTTGAGTTTCTTCCCCTTGCTTATATATTCTTAATGAATATTCTTTGTCAAGAAAAAGGAAAGACCATTATTTTTTTCGAAATACTGCTTCTCATAAGTAACGCTCATATCATTTTCAATAATTCCATTTGCAGAGAGGATCTGACATCACCATTTTCACCAATGTCAGAGGACTCCGACGACTCACGATACTGTGACCTCATACATCAACAGGACATGTGTACGGGCACCAGAAACACAGTGTCACCTCATCGACACCACATAGGTGGACCCCACATCACATATTCCTCAATGCCACTATCCAACTCACCTTCTTCACCCTGTAGTACTCTCCTACAAATGGCCTATTCCCATTCAAGGCCACGTACCCCCGAATCAGAAAGCCGATTCCCACCTTCACCAAGTGACATATGCCAATCACCCAACCTTAGAAGGGCTGCTCTCTTGAGATCAGTACAAATGAGAACACAGCCTACAAATTCACATGCATTTGAGATGCCTTTCGAGAGCATATCGGATCAACATGTCGACGACAGAGAGGGTTCCCCTTGCTCATATGTGAAAGTGATAGCCGATGAGAGGGTTTATCCCATTGAGTCTCGTGGGCCTGTTAGGAGCTCTTCCAGGGTTAGGAGCATGCTTCTTGAGGATTGTTCAACTATGGGTATCTCAGAGACTCAAGAAAAAAGAGAGAAGTGTTATAGGGCATTGAATTTGAAGGGGGATGGTGGTGGTAATAATAGAGGGGTTGAGTCAAAAGAGGAGTTTTTTGGGGGCAATGGGGTGAATAGACCAGAGTTGCTAAGCGGTAGGAGATCTGTTCTTGGTGAACATGCAAAAGCTTGTTCTTTTGAGTGAATTGATAATGGAATTTTGGATTGGCTATGTTGGGGTTCGTCCATCTGGATTAGTGGTTCTAAGGCATAAGGACTGCAACCACTAATATTGAATGCTTGAATCCTAGATTAGTCGCCAAAAAGAAGAGAAAACAATAGAAACAAAGCAAGAGATATATGTATGTATTTACATTTTGGAAATCTTTTCATTTTGCATGGGTAGCCCATTTTCTCTCGGGCTTTACTTTCTGGGATCCGTTTTGTATTATTTGCAAGGAGATCAACACTAGATCGTTAATTTGGTTTATTTTTCTTTTCCATTGCTTTGATTTCAAATATCTTTTCTTTTATGAGTTATTCTCACGTATGGGGACTTTTAACGATGCTGGAAATAAGATCGACTTAGCACTGCATGTGACTCAGCTACCGGTCTTGGTTTCGACCCCTTTTGAAAACTACTAATGGTTTCAAAAATTACTAGCCCACTACTAACAATTAACATTTAAAAAAAAAAAAAGGAGTCATTCACAAATCTCACTTAAAATGTTTCGAAAAATAACAAGATTCATTTGCTGCTGCTATTTCTGCATCTTGACAGGATTAAGGCACCTTAATGACCTCAAGGATCTTGTGGTTTAGGTGCTTTTCATTTAGGTTGCAATTCGGCTTGGCAACTTATTCACTCAAATAAGCTTTCATGTTTACATTAGTCCAGTTGGAACAAGGGCATTGGACATGATACATTTAGTTTGAGAATAGAATGATCCACTTTAAAAAGGAAAATTGAAGTGCCGGCGATCGGGCACAACCTGGAACTAACTAAAGTTTTGTAAATCCAAGCCTTAAATGGTTTTGAGTCATTTTCTCCTTTATGATACAAGGATAGTGAGATGAATCTGTTCTATAACCCAGCAAATCGCAAAAAAAGGAACGGAATACCTTTAGCGCATCCCAACTCAAATGCATAAACACTTCCTAAATCAGTCTGGATTAATTTACCGCATAGAACACCAGTATTTTAAAAAAAATCGGTGAGTCCGAGCCCAATTTACAGATTTTGTCTGACTAGGGGTTCTAATTTGGGGATATTAAAAAATTCAAAAAAAGAATTAAAAAAATAAAAAATCTATTTATAACATGTTTATTTACATGTTCTATCATTTTAACAAAGATTGAAATGTATTGTATACGACTACTTAGTTTTACATTTTCCCGTACTTTTTGAATTATTTCTAAAATAAATTCAATGAGAAAATACTTTTTCAAAATCTTTTTTTTTACTATTCTTTAACCTCATTTAGATATATTTTGTTTGATCTTACTTTAAACATATATTTCCTTTTTTTGCTTTTTGTTTTTTTTTTTCTTTTAAATTAACACTTTTTTGTTACAACAGTTATCAAGCCAAGTACTCGGCCCGAATCATTCATTTGACACTGCAAAGAACCAGGATTCTGCAACTCAAAAATTTGTGCAGGCTTGGCTATTCGCAAAGAATCAATTTAGCAGCTCAAAAATTGAGTTAATAAAGGTCTATTTTCAGGATTATCTTAATGGCCAAGATTATCAACCAGGTTAACTTCAGATCCAAAATCTACAGCAACGATGGATTCTTGGAAAGAAACTGCATTTGAATAGGGCCACTGATATCCGCCGCCCAAACGAAGCACAGATATCCATCGGAGTTGGGTTTGGCCATGTCCTAGCTCATTATCATATATAATAGCATCATTTCATTGGACAAAGCCATGCACCATTTCATTGAACAAAGACATACCAACTAAAATACTAAACTTTAACGTATAATCAGTACCTTGTAGATGTAGTGTACCACATAATTTATGAAACTTATTTTGATAGATACTATTTGGGAATGAATTTCGACCGTCAAATATTGTATCAACCACAAACAAATCCCAAGAGGATAGGAGCAAAAACGATACAAAAAAAAAAGAGGGATTTTTTTCTTTTTTCATAAGCATCATAGCGTCCAGAAACCTCTGATATCTTAAAAAAGACATTTCCTCATGTGTGGCTGGGACTCTCAGCAATCACAATGAACTAAGCTTGAAGTAAATGGCTTCCAATGATTTATGTCAGGAAGTTCAGTAGGAACATAACTAGTAGGTGTCACGCTTCTGATCATGACTCTTTACACACACATGCGTGCGTGCAGAGGGCACCAACTAAATAAACAAACTGTTGTGTTCTGAGTTGGCTAGTTGGCACAACTGATTGTATGAAGCCATATCTGTAAGAGACAAGGAACCAGTTAGAAAAACAGGCGTCTTGATAAAGAGCCAAATGTCAATTTACTTATCCATGCAGAAAATTTATGTAAACTAAGATAACTACAACGCACGAAGTATATTTTAAGGCAATTAACTGGAAATGTGTAAAACTTTTATCAGATATATCCATAAATTTCAGATTTCAAGGTTTCTTCAACATCCAAACAAACTTGAGTAAACATACCCAAGTTTTACACAAATGAAATATTAAGAAATTATATATCCATACATCATCACATGTACATCTTGACACAACCTAATGAAAACATCACATTTATCAAAATACAATACAATCAAAATACAATAGAAACAAATTCAGCAAAATGTTGAAAGATTTAGAGAATCACTCAAGACTTGGTCATTTGTGCTGGCATCACTAATAATGTTCACAAAATATGTTTCAGAGGTTTTATGAAGTGAACAGAGCAACTGCTGGTGTTGACAAAATGCAAGCATGTTATTACTTGGACATAAAAAATAATATATATTCAACTTTGAGAGTGTGTGTGTGTGTGAGAGAGAGAGAGCGAGAGAGAGGGAGAGAGAGAGAGAGAGAGAGAGAGAGAGAGAGAGAGATCACATGCTTTGCGGCAAATTCTAAGGCATTGGACACTCATGCATAGATCTGAAGATCTTGAAACGGAACATTAATACAATTACAAGGCTCGGCAACAGTGAAAGAAAAAAAAAAAGACAAAAGGAGCACCGCTTCATTGTCAAGGGGGCCCTCTCCCAAAATTGGCCTACGAGGCAGAAATATGCAAATAACTAAGGAGCCCCTCAAAGATTTCCACACTAGTCCATAACGTATGCCAGCTCGCAACCCACTTAAATAATGCAAGGGCAAAGTTACAAGTCTACCTTCTGCGATAATGAAGCTATATGGTATCAGGGTCAGTATGGCTCCAACTTCAAAGTTTAAGTCTTCACAAAGCTCACATCTCTTGTTTGGTACCCGGCACATGTTCTTGATTTCACCAGCTTGGGGCAATACAATGAATGGGGCATCACTGTTGCAGAGGAAATTGTATTCCAAACCATGGTGCGCAAAGCCAAACACAGTTATGTAAGAAGGCCAATGAAACTATGTTGACACAGGATTCCTAGAGTCCACGATTGGGGGTGAGGGGAGGGGGGGAATGCTGAAGGAGTCAGGGTTTGAATTTCATTCAATTATTTCTCTATTTCTGGCCAATGGTGATCCTCAGTTACAAGGAGTGGCAATGCACAGGAAAACATTGAGTTCCTAATGGTTTAGGGTTCATAGTGCCCATGAAACAGCCACAAGTCTAAACAAAAGGGGGAGAAAATGAAGGAAATAAAAATGACGTTGCCTAATGCCCTAATGATAACAATATGCGAAGACACAGTTTGGAGGAAAAAAAAGGACAGATGAATGAAGCCCTTCAAGGAAAGAAACCAGATTCCATCTTCACAGATTACAGAATCCCAATAATTTTTCGTGAAGGCGTATTTCAAGGCATGTGGAACCAGGTAGTTGTAAATATACTTTGCGTGAGTGTAAAATCATACTTCTGACCTTCCAATGCAAGACAGATTCTGGCTCATGATTTTTCTTTTTCGATGTATAGGAGGAAAAAGATAGTTAAACAGTCCTCATTGTGAGTTGCTAAAAACATTTGGCCTCGGCTCCTCAGGTTTGGGGAATGAAACGGTTCTCCTAGGCTAGAAGCTGTCTTTGAGTTGGCAATTACCTGTTTGACACCAGGACTGGTTTCAGGGTTCAGGTACATTTCTCTGTTTGCCCCGCTGGTTTGGTGGGTATCTGAATAGAATGGATGAACTGAACCTTCAGGGAGACTCTCCTTCCCTGATTGTAATGAGAATCTTAAGGAAATGAGATTCGATCTTCTAGAGGAGTTCGACAGCATAAAGCCCAAGAAGACTGGAACAGAATCATGAGGAGATTACATTTCACAATCAGAAATTGAAAAATAACAATAAAAAACAACCAAGGGGAGTGGTCTTTAGCCAATATCTTTATGAGACCCTGCATCTTGCAAACCTTTTCTTTGGCTTGATGCACAAACGGAAGGAGATGGTCAGCATAGGAATCACTTGTTCTGGAATAGAGTGAAGCCAGTTTAAAATAAACTCTCTGGATGAGAGCCAGCATTATTTTTTTTGTTTTTTTGTTTTGGGGGGGGGGTAGATTTTTCAAGAGATTTTAATCATTATTTTTCATAAATTGGAAGATAATTTACTTACAATTGCAAGTTGATAATTGTAAGCTTCTAAGTTCACAGACACTATGAATGACATAATATTAGAATATTCAACTGCTTCTCAGGTTAGGGCAATAAAATATAAATAAAAGCAATAATACTTAAAACTCATGGTTAAATATTTCGCAGGATACTTTTACGCATGAAAAGGCAAACCAATCAACAATATAAGAAAACAATAGAAAGAAAAACAGACAGTCCACCCCATAAAATTTCAGGATGAGGCTAAAGTTACTATAGCCGTTGCTAGATGAACTCTCAATCAAGTATGGAAAGAGATGCTGATACACTAGGAATGATATGACCAAAACCAAAGTACGGGTAGTTAACATTTGTACCAAATGCATCTCCAAAGTTGGTGCACATTTCAGCTCGAATGGTCTGATTGCCCTCAGCAACACCAATCACCTCAACAAATTTTGACAGAGGATCAACAGTAGTAGCTTTAACAGATAGTTGCAGGCCATCTGAAGTTTGAGCTACGAAGCCTCCAGTATCGACTCGCACAACCTGAACAACTGACCGAACCCTTCGCCCGGTGTGCATTTTTAAAAGTTCTCCATTGACAAAAACTGCAGGGCTTGAAATGTCCATGCTGCAAATTGGACATTAGACAATATAGCTCAAAGACCTTCACACTAGAGAATAAGAGAGAATTGAAAGCACTTGATCACATTATGTTTACATTTATTCTCTTATACTATGCAATACTGCTAAAAAGTTTCCCGTGGAGCACAAACAGGGATATCAACTGACAGCTCATGATAAATCATGTTTTGTCAAAAAAAGTAGTTAAAATCATGGTTAGCTGATAAGTTTTTAAGATTTCAAGACACTACCATAGAAGCAGAAAATTTGGATTTTGGACCTAAAACCAGTTATTGTACAAGGTTTTCACAGTCAAGTATGAAAAGCACACGGTTTTTAAGGAACTGTGCCCATTGACACTTATATTTATCAAAATGCCCACGAGAGATGAGCTATTTAACATTTTACGTATTTGCAACTATTCCAACCTATGATCTTATGTCTTTTGATGGGTAGTTTGAAATTAAATCAAACTATATGGGTAACATGTTAAATAGTTCATCTCTTGTAAGTGTTTAGATAAATTTTCTTATTTTCAATAAATCCATCTCTGAAAAAAATATTTTTATAAGTAGAAAAATCATTGCTGGTTAATAATCACTAACAAGTAACTTATAAGTAGAAATTGACACGAAAACCATGCCACTTTCTTTCTAAAAATGGATAATCCCCTAGATAATCCTGCTACCCTGATCTTAAGGAACATGCATCCCTACAAAAATATTACAGGGTTCAGGGAACAAGCTCAAAAAAGGTCAGGCCTCTATACTATGATCCATAGTGGTTATCTCTGCCCCATCAATGGTTGGATGGTGTTCTAAGAAGTGGGTTCCAATGTACAATTTAAACTAGTGAACTGCATTGCCCTTCTTTCTCTCCATCACCCTCCCACCAATTAAATGGACCGTGACAAACCCATTGGTCATGGTTGTTGCTGTGACCATATGGATCGTGTTATATGTTCCCAAAAAAAGTCTCATCATCATCAGAGACTTATCTAAACTATGTATGGTCGGCTACATGAATCTTGTTTTGTCATTTTGTTCTATCAAGGGCCATACCCTCAATAAGACTAATGAGCAGATAATGTAGATTCAAGATTCATGGAAAGTTGCAGCAAAGCTTTACGTTGGCTGCCTAACTAACACAACCCTCCTCCTTTAACCAAGCTTGGGACCGGCATTGACTGGCAGGGGCGGCCAAGGCGGAGTTGTTCCCAAAAAAAGTCTACTCCCAATAATTACACTATATGTGCATAGAATGGAACTAAACTAACAATTATGAAAAGTATTTCAATAAGGAAAGAGTTTATATAAAGCCGAGGCTGTAAACGATCAAATTAGAGCCCACCTCATAAATTTCTCTAGAAGAAGTTGTTTTGATACCCAAATATCCTCAAATTGGTCATCTCAACATCAAGATGCATGGACATGAGAAAAAAATGGATTTCAAAGATTTGGATATGGTGTACCTTGTAACGCAATTTTGGACTGTCAATTTTCAACATTTTCAAGGTTTCATAGATCTGCTCGATCTACACTATTTTTGAAGCTTAAACTTTTATAATTAAAGATGAACATATATTTTAAGGCTATCACAAAAATTTTCAGTATTTAAACCTGTATTTTAATTTGATTGTTTAGAGCCTCGGCTCTATGCAAACCGCACCCTTTCAATAAACACAAGTATCAATGGATAAAATGACGTATTAAAATGGGGAGGATTTTAAGAAAAAGTCAAATACCCCTAAGAAGTGATCTGTATATACAAACTAGCATTAAAAAAGAAAAGGAAATTGTATCAAATTACTCTTAAGAGATTGACTATTCAACACTTTACCATATCATTTGACTTAATTTCAAATTGCATAAAAAAACTTATGGTCTTGATTTGGAATAGTTCCAAATGGGTAAATTGTTATATAATTCATCTCTTACAGATACTTAAATAAATTTTCACAAAAAAAAAAGACATACTAAGGGTATGTTTGGTCGGTATGAAATAGTTTTCATGCAAAAATATTCATATGAAATAACTCCCCTATGTCAGAGTGTATGGATTTTTTTCACACCAATTGGTCCACTACAAAAAAGTTTACTATGAAAATGGAACAATTGGTGTGACAAAACTTCCATACCTATTGACATGGGGGAGTTCTTTCATATGAAAAACTTTTCATGAAAACTTTTTCATACAACCCAAACGTACCCTAATGGTCATAAAGGATCAAGATTATTGTCTATGTCATAAAGTAGATAACAAAATACGAATAAATATGATCACTTTCTTTTATTTTATTTATTTAATTTTCTGTTTGGGGTACTCATACTTAAAACTCAAACAAATGGATCAAAAGGCAACTTTATTACATCCTCAAATTCTATGATACAGTTTATCTGATAAAATAATAGATCACTAAAATCATTACATTGATGAAATGAAATGAACTAATGAAGGATACCCACTTATCCAAAAAGAAATGATAACAATATATATTATGGGATGCTGACTAATTGTGCAGCTTATCAATCCAGCAAAATGTAAAACACTAATAAAAGAACCTCTTGCATCAAACTCAAATTTAGAGAGTTCCAACAAATGGGTGTACACTCCAGAATAATCAGATTAGACAAAATAAGGGACAATGAAAACAACAATCTTAAATAAATAAATAAATAAGAAGACAATGATATCGACGATTCTAGGGTACCCCAAAGAACCTTAATAAACATCGAAAGGAGTGGTAAGCTGTTACTGTGCACGTGTTAAGAATAGATAGTTATGGTGACATAAAAATTGAGAAAAAGAACGTTGGAAAATGAGAATAAGGAAAACTAAACCATTTTACCAGTTAGTGATGTGCTAGGGTAACGCAGGAAAAACGATTCATTAAAAGAGAAAAATATACGTTTTATGAGAAGTATGAGAAATTAGGGAGAATGAATTTAGGGCAAAGAAAGCCCTTACCTGAAAAAAGCTCCAAGGGCGTTTGGAAAATGGGGACAGAGAGAGGAAATGAGCGGGAAAATGGATGTGTGGAAATTTATAGCAAAGCCCGGGTGGAGGGAAGGCTCAAATTACTGAAAGACGAAAATCTTTTTCTCATGTACCCCGACCACCTAGTAAGGGCATGTCCTTCCCCCCTCCCCACTGAATTTCCAAAAAAAAAAAATTAAAAATTAAAAGGGTGTCAACTTATTTCGATTAATATTTGAAAAAACTCACTATATTCTCTTACAACATAGAAGTTCTATCCTCCCCTTACCATCCAGCCGTCTATTTTTTATCGCGAGAACCACTCACCATTTGATCTTTAGATCTGATGTCTCAAAGTATTTATTTTAAGTTTTTTTAATACAAATTTTCTAAATATGAAATTTGGTACGTACCATTTTCTCATTGGGGTGCACCTATAAAAAATATTAACGATAATTTTTCGATAAAAAATAATGACCAAAATACCTTTTGAAACTTTCAAAGGTATTTTGGTCATTTTGTTTTATTGGAAATTTTTTTGTTATATTTTTCGTTAGTGCGAGTTTAATAGAGAAATGGGCGTCCAAAATTTGATGTCAAAATAG